TGGTTAAATCTTTAAGCTCATCATATTATATGCTTTAAGGTAAAACCCTAATTTGAAAAAGTAAGTACAGCTGTCAGATAAATGTCGAGTACAAAGTACAAATGAAATGTAGTGAAATTGAAGTATAACGTATCATAAAATGGAAACACTAAAGTACAAGTACCTTAAAATTGTCCCAAAGTGCAATAATGCCTTGATCCAAAGCTAAATTTAAATCTTTAGCTATTATTAACTTTTGTTTTTCCTGCTTTGATTTTTGTCATTTACAGGCTCCCATGCCTGTGTTTCTGGCCTGGACAGTATTCATTAACAGTGTCCTCTTTCCACTCAGGTATTCGGACCATGTGTTGAATCTTTAGTGGGTGATTCACAGCAGTCGATCCTTTTCTGGCTCTGACGTCATGTGACGGTTTGTTGTTTAGCGCAAAGAAAAACACTTTACTCTGAATTCTTAAAATGTTGAGGGGGGGAAAGAATCTCTGATGGAGTCCTCTTCTTGGTCTGAGAGAGCACTGCACCCAAGTGGTTATGAGAAGAAAGTGCACCCATAAGTCTCCGAGCTTTGGTAATGTCATGGACCCCACCCAGGCAGACAGAACCTGATCTTATCAGGGAAACGCCATCTGAGAAGAGTGTGTGGTTGAATGTCACCTGACGCAGAATTACATTTAAGTCTGAACTTATAACTGAAATGTAATCATCATTTTTATAGCGTTTAATTTCAAAAAATTAGGAAATCTGTTTTGTTTTGTTCCTACACACTAGAAGATAAAATGATTTTCAAATTCCTCAATTGAATGTAAATAATACATTTTAAATAAATTGCAGAAAAAAAAATCCTGTTCATAACAAAGAGCTGTGTGTCTAGGTGATACTTTTTTTTTTTCTTTTGGACACTGTGTAAAGTGGAAAATAATTAAGATTAACATAAGATAATCAGATCATCATGACTGCCTGTTGAAAGTAGTCAAAGTAATCACAATAAAATGATGATTAGTGATTCAGCTTTGTTCATCTCTTAATAACATTTTGAAAATATTTGTACTGGTGTTGCCAGGATATCAGTTTTTCTAAATCCAATTACAGAGAACATAAAATAGATAAGAATATTTATCCAGTAATCACCCGATGCTTGACTCATCATCAAGTGCCTTCCTGTAATAATCCTAGGGGAATATTAATAAACCTCATTGCCTCTGCAACCATTTACAGAAGCATTTTATTCTCCATTTGAAAGTTGATTGAAATGCTTGATGCTTTTCTGGCCACACTCTTATTATAATAAATGTCCATGTTCATATAACATCAGGATTATTTAATGAAACTGATTACAATCTGATAAATGTGACATAAAATCCATTTAGGCTATGGTAGGTTTTAAAACTGGCTCCTTACAGTAAGTCATTATTTACATTGTTATCAATAACATTGCATTGTGTAATTATGTATGGTAAAATAAATTTGCTTCTGTTTGTTCAGATGTGTCTGCAAACAGCAGCTTCCTTGAATTCACACTGTTTAATATCTTTTTGCTTGGAAAGAGAGCCGTGAGTAATCACACAAGACAAGACCACACAGCGTATGACTGAGCTTTATCACACCAGAGAAGACAGGAGAAGAACATATGACTCATTCTAATTTTAGCACTGTTGGCCTTTTATAGCGCCTACCGCTGTTGACATGCAGTGTTTAAAGGGTTTTATTGAAGTTACAATCTCATGACTCAAGTGCCTCAATACGCAGCTTTTACAACGCAGAGTGTTGAAAGGTGTGTGTGTGTGTGTGTCTTACACATGTCTCTCTATGTTTGAATGGACAGATTTCAGTTCAAAACCATCGTAGTGAGGACATGTCTGCATTGTGAGGACATTTTGCCAGCCTTCATAAACCTTAAAGGGGCTGTTTGAGGGTTATGGCTCGGTTTCAAGGGTTAAAGGTAGAATTAGTTTTAGGTTAGGGTCGGGGGTTTAGGGTTAAGAGGTTTGAGGAATACATGATGTCAATGAGTGTCCTCACAGCTACAGAAAAAGCAACATGTGTCTGCTTGTACAATGTTTTGGGGACATACATCTGCTTATACAGTCACATTGTGGGGACTCTGCCTTTTGAGGACAAAAATCAAGTCGCTTTAATGTAAATTATTCAATTTTTTTATCCAAGATTGGATAAAGATTAGGGTAAGGTTGCTCGCCGCTTATTGCTGTATATGTTTATTAATTGTTAATTAACTGTTATTCTTATATATTTTACACGTCATCAAGTTTCAATTGAGCACAGAAAGAAAAACTGTTGTCAGCCATGCATTTTCCAATGAATTTGTAATCATTTGTATACCTTAATCAGCTTGTAATGAAAACCTAATCCTTCAATTCATTATTGAAAGAAAAAGGGGTATTACAGTTTTTTCATTGGACAGCAACCAACGTCCTGTAAACTCTAAGACACGTGGTTATCTGATTTGTATAAACCTTCTTATTGACTGAGGTATAATCAGGTATAATCATTCTCAACATTCAGTTTACTTATAAACTGTTTTTATATTTAATACACAAGATTGCGGAAAATGTTAATCATCCAAGTGGGTTATTTAAAATTGGTTTATGAATACTTTTGATAATAATATTAGTGTACATCGAATTAGAGGGTATGACTGATAATTGTTTGTCAAGGGCTGTAAGTAATTCCTGGCACAAATGGCACAATTAAAGCAGGCTATGTAATTAAAAGGAGTCTGTAAAAGAGGGAGGAGAGCTGCTGTATTGAAATTGCAGGGTACGCACTGAAGAGGATGTAATCACCAGTGCAATACAAGAGCCTTACAGGGCTGAGTTTCACAGATTGCAGACTATCCCTAACTCTGGTCCAAAAAGCTGTCACAACTGCACAGAAATGTTTCATTACTCTATTATTTGTTGTGTTTTACTGATTTTATACTATAGGTTTAATCACAAACACATGATAGAAATATTGACATTAAGCTGAGGGCAACTTTCCTTACCAACAGTAGAAGAAGTATATAAAATATACGGCAGCCTCCACTAGAAAGTGGGGTTGTAACGGAGAAGAGAATATCCTGTTTTTCCAAAAATTTGGTATTCTGGTATATGCTATGGAGAACTGTGAACTCATCAACATTGCCTCTCTTTTCCCCTTAGAATAATGGGCCACTAAGTAAAAGATTTATAATCCAAATCATGATAATTTTTCTTAAAGGGAGAAGACTTTGGTAATATTTAGGTCATCGTGGAAAACTTAATCTTTCTAGTGACACACTTTTAAAATGTAGTTTAGTTTATGCGTTGCCAATTGTTGTATGTTACAATGAGGGATGTTTTAGTTTTAGAGATCACTGATGTTATTTTTAAGATAAAGTCACTCTCTCCTCCTTCATACTCGCCCTGAACGACACAGACAATGGTCAAAACTGGTGCAGAGATATTTTGACCTCTAGTCTCTGGTATAGGTGAAGCTCCAGAAACACACTGGCATCTTTCATCAGACACTCACTGTCTGAGACATGCCCGTGTTTTTCAATCTCCATTCCCCCGAATTTCTAGCAATGGTTTTTGACGTCTCACAGAAGAAGCTGATATAACCCTAATGACATCATCAGGATTATTTTCACCACAACGGATTTTTGTTCAGCCTTACTTTAAAGCTACTTAAGAATCAATAAAAGTCAGAGCCTAATTCAGTTCAATACAACTTTATTGATCCCTGCAAGGAGAACTGTGCAGCAACTTACCACTCAGGTCAACAAATACACTTATACAATAAAAAAGGACAAACAATTTACAGTTAATTGCAAAGCCAAAACAGTCACAGGCTTTAAACGTGGAAACTGTATGTAGTATTGGTAATGAATAAACACAATCATCCGAAAATATCTAAAAGAATGTATACAAAAAATGAATAGAAATTAATAAAATTACCAATCAAGAATTGAGAGAGCTGATAGAGGTAGACTATTTCTATTAGCTAATCTATGTATTAAATAAATCCTATGATGCTCTCTGTGATTTTATTTCTGATATGAAAACAATCGACCACATAAATCACATAAATAAAATCACTATAATGGCAGACAGTGAATAATGTGTGTGAATAATGCCACACGTTAGTGATCTTACTATAATTGTATTGCATCTATAAATGTAATATTCCTAAAGGCCAATATTAATATAACAATTTATGCTTGCAGTGGTATGTGAATTGCATCCCTGTGAAGTTATGATGTACTAAAGCTGTCCTGTAACAGCAGCTACACCCTGTTAAGTGAGACCTCCCTGAGCTGCAGATGTGCCCTGGCAGCTGCAGTACCAGCGTCGCGACCAGCAGAGGGCGCTACAGGTTCGTATTTGTGGCTTATATCGGTACAAACTGAGGACGCTCCTTTTTGTACATGAAACCATCCTCCGCTCGCCGGTCCGCTCTCCTTCCTCTAAACCCGACTGTAGCTGTACCCTCTTTTTTTTTTTTGTCATTTCTTTATCCATCCGGTTCCCCCCGCTTCTGTGACTGCCTCGCCCCCCCCCTCCGTCCCCCCTCGGCCGTTTTCAGATCAGCTGCACCGGACGGATCTGTGTCTGTATCTCCAGCTGTGTGGCTCCAGTCCCGCAGGCAGGGTCGGCCATGTTGTTGTGTGGGGGTTGATGCAAGTTTAGTAGTAGGAAGTAGAAGCTACAAAGAGGTGGAATACTTTAGGTTCTCACTTTTTTTCCTTTTTTTTTTTTTTTTTTTTTTGAATCACTGTCATGCTGCTGCTGGTTTCCTCCTCTCTGACCTCTCCGCTCTGAACACAATGACTGACTGCTCCACCAGCTCCGCCATCCTCACAGACTGTGACACTTGAGCTGCTTTGATTTAACTTCAGCACTAAATCTGACCACAGTTGTTTCTCTGGCGGATGGATGAAGTGAGGATGAAGGCAGCTCGGTCCCGATTGGAATAACTCGGATTTTCTTTCTTTTGATTTTTTTTTTTTTCTTTCTTCACCGGATCTGATTCAAAGGAGGGGGGAAGGAGAAAAAAAAGGAGAAGACACCCGAGAAGGTCGCGGATTATCTGTGAAGGTAAAAGCACAAATTAAACTGGTCTTTGTCAGAGCTGCAGGATCAGATGAGGATGGGCCGAAACGCAGCAGCTGCTCGCCTGTCTGATCTGTCACCAACAAAGGAATGAAGCTGACTTATTATAATACAAACATATACCTGTCTGTACGCTATAGTTTGCAATGCGATGTTCCCTGCATGCCAGGAGCTATGGAGAATTCATTAAACCATTTATATAAAGGTAAAGACTATATATATATATATATATATATATCAGTGGATACAGAGCATGTGCTTAAAGACTAAGTGGAATATGAGTGTAACCATATCAGAATATCAGATAGCAGATAAATACTTTAAAGTAGGACAAGGTCATTGCATTACAGTAAAATATCATTACAGCAATTCGTTAAATACATCATATGAGATGGTTTAAGTATCTTATACATGAAGCTTAACTAGTCAATGAAGGATCGTGGTAGTAAAAGAAAAGGATAAAAGTTAAAACTCATTTGAGTAAATTGATTTAATTGTTCAAATCTGGCATTTTTATGAATGTTCTCAGTTTTAATCTCTTTTGAGCACTGTTGACAGATGTTTGCCCACGCATTGTTTTAACTATAAGTCCAGCTGACTTCAGTGAGACCCAGACACAAGAGGCACAACTGCCACCTCATTGTTGCTAATATCTAACCCAGTGTTTGACTCATGTTGATTCAGATTAATCAGAGGTCTGTATCAGGCTGATGAAGATGATGAGGAGGAGGAGGAGGAGGAGGAGGAGGAGGGAGGGAGGGAGGGAGGGAGGGAGGAGGAAGTTCAGGCCCTCCTGGTGATGCTGTCAGTTTGCACAGTCTGAATTCAAACTTGGTGATTAAACAGCTGAGTCACCGCTTCTGTGTGTTCCTCACTCTGTGCTGCTGCTGTACTGTTCACTTACTGTAGTGCCACTGATCTATTTCCACTTTGAGGGCAGGGGCTGGAGAACTGTCCTCATTACCCACATAGTTTTTCAAAGCCGGCTCGGAGTGAACTCACTGACTGTCGCACTTTAAAGTGACTGGATAATGTGTCGTGTAAAAGATACAGCCTCTCCCCGACGGCTCTGCGCCTCTGCCGGTTTTTAAATTGCAGGTGAATTTATAAAACACCAAAAACTACAGTTGCAGCGCTGAAACGATATAACTTGTTACATTACACCGCAAACAAAGAGCTTTGTCTCCTGTCCTAATTTCTACAAGTGAAATCAGCCACACAAAAGGTTCCATTCATAAAACACAGCTTGCTTATAATCATCCAGCAGAACTCTAAGCATAACATAACAAATCACATAACTCATAAGACTTGTGCGTGACACAGGCGAGGTTGAAATTCTTGTTCGTATCGCTAAACACCACAGGGTTGTAAGTCATGAGCTTATGCACTTTGTTTAAACGTGACAGTGCAGCGCAGCACGTCACGGCTCAACGAACACAGACGCACTGATTCACTTTTCTTTCTCAGAAACTCCACTAAGGGTTTCTCATGATACTGAGTACCGATACCAGTCTTATCTCATTTAAAAGAACGGCTGAAGAAGCTCTCTAATGAGTGCTTTAGTAGCAGGAGGTTGCCAGATACGAGCGGGCAGTCGGCAGCTGTGTCCTTTGCCCTGCCCTCTAACTGCAAAATCTTAAAAGAAGCAGATTTTAGTGAATCGATTTTGCCTGAGAAAACAGGCTAATCCAGGCTACCGCACGGGGCTTACAGTCACTCTATTAGATGTTGACACTTCAAACACCCAGCCTAGTTATGTGCTGACAAATGGATGATTGTAGACACACTCTGATTCCCAAAATAGCTCATGTTTACCCAATGCTCAGGTGCCAGTCTTCAGGTATTCCCATAAGAGCAGTTTTTTTTTTTTTGGAAAATGTGTGATGTCTGTTGTCTGGCAGCACAAAAACTGACACGTGTACAACCAAAAGCTGTTCAGTGAGGTTTAGTGTAGAGTTGTTGTTTTTTTTTTACACATGATCTTGTCGAGTTAAGTTAAATCATATTAACGCGACAGCTTTTCCCTCAGGACTGAAATATTGATGGTGAAGAGAGCTGTGGATTCAAGCTGCTGTGCTTTGAATAACAACAGTCAAGCACTGAAAGTCTCCTCATTCATTTCCAAGAGAGATTTTGTATTTAGTATTTCTCAAATCAAGTCTTTTCTTGCCCTCAATTTGTTTGTAGGCCTCGGGATCAGTTCTTGTAACAGGACTCTACACCCCAGTGTAAATCTCATTATGAACCATTTATTGATGTTTCTCTGACGCTCTGAGGCTTTACATCCATATCGTCACACAACATTTCTCCACACCCCAGTTTTAACCCATTGGCATCAGAGGAATGTGGTGGATGGTGGCGGGCAGCATCTGTTGCAGATCTGAAGCCCAGTAAAGCTCCAGAGACCCTCCCCGTCTGCAGCCACAGCGTCAGCTGCTAACAGCTGTCCAACGGGACGCTGGGCAGGGTTTCACTCAGACCGCTGGCTGATGGATGGAGGAACTCCACCATCGTACTTCCTCTCAGCTTGTCTGTCTGACTCTCAGCCAGCCAAGCGTCAACTTCATAAGAGTCTAGATCATCACAGGGGAGCGGAGGCTGTTTGATCCAGTAAGATGCTAAAAAACTCAAATATATTTTAGAATCATTAGTTTAGTTCATTTATAATGCATGCTCTGCATTTTTTAATGAGCTTTACAGCCTCAAATCTATAAAGGAAGGATCTGAAATACATGTTCAGTCAGTTATGTATAAAATAACACACAGTATTCACTATCACATCTTGTACTGTAACTTTACCCACTGGATTCCATCCGTGTTAACATCAAATTTATCTGGTAATGTCTTCTAGGCTGAAACCTAAAAAAGTCAATTAGTGAATGTGTAGGGTTTCACCTAATCATAATTTTCACTATTGAGTCATCTGTTGATTATTAAGTGTCGTTTAACCTTTCAAGGTGCTTGTTTTTTTCATGTAAGAGTCAAAAAACCACAAAGTGTTGACTTTGAAGTGATTACAGAGAAAAAGAAGCTGATCTTCACATTTGAGGAGATACATGCCAGTCTGTCAGTCGATCGCTCCATCATTTTATCATCATTACCGGCCCAGCAGCAGCAGCTTTGTCATCCTGAGCATGTTAGCACGCGGACGTTAGCATTTAGCTTGAACCACCACTGTGTCAATACGGCCTCATAGAGTTGCTAGTATGGCTATAGAGTCATTATTGATTGATCATTAACTGTTGATTAACCATTCAAAATGCGTGTTTAGTCCAACTAACATCCCATGAGCCAAACATATTCAATTCAAAATGATAAAAGATGGGAAAATGTAGCAAATCCTCGCATTTGCAAAGCTGGAAACAGTGGCTGACGGATGGCAATCAAAACTGTTGTCAGTAGGTTTTCAGTGGATCGACATTTAACCCAGCTAATTGTTTGTTCTTCAGAAGCGAGCGTTGGTAAAGACGTGAAACTGCAGCTGTCTCCTCTTCTGCCCACCAGGATTGTGAGTGCAGGTAGCACCGCCCTCGAGTAATCCTGTACTTTCCCCTTACTCATCAGCTCAACTTTGTCTCCGCAGCCTTTTTTAAAATTCTGAACCACGGCCACCGAAAGCACCCAAACGTTTTCACCACTCTACTTTATCAGAGAGTGTGAGGGAGAAAAAACTGAGCACTCATCCGTCTTATCGGCATTTTGTGAAGCCTGTGTGGAATTCTCACACTGTGATCGGAGCTGGGGGGGGGGGGACCATCGGCGGGTCGGCTGATAAGAAGGGTGCAGGTTCGAATTATAAATGTAACACAAGTAAATGAAAAGTTTTGAATTCATATCTGTGGAACACACAGAGACGGTTTGAACAGCTATAGTAAATGTGTTTTGTTTTTTTTTTTCTTCAGTGTGGTCTGCTTTCGGTTTAGTTACACACACAAGCTCTCTCCAAGCCTCTGTTAAACACTCCATATATGTAAACACTGGCTGAAATCAGGATTATGTGAGTCTACATAAATATAGTTGATGGGTGAAAATAAAACAAAGACACTAGAGCTTGTAGAAGTGAGAGCACGAGAGGATGCCTCGAAAAAACTCCATGAAACTATGTATGTTCTAGGCAAAAACAAGTAGGAACAAGAGGTCAAGGGTCACAAGGTCCCTCAGGGGAACATCTGGATCCTGCAGACAACAAATACGGTTAGTTTTTTGTTCATTATGTATTTCCTGTAATACGTGATCTCCTTTTACTTATTAAATAGATAAGTATTTAGTACTTACACCAAGGTATCCTACTGCGCTGAAGCTTCAGCGTCGTCCCTCACTTGTAAGTCGCTTTGGATAAAAGCATTTGTCAAATGAGTAAATGTGAATGTAAATACAGTGTGTGGCCCTGAGTCCGCCACCAGCTATCAGTTCTACAGCAGCTTACGGGACAATCTGACCTCACTGGAAGAGGAGTTTAAAACAAAGATAGAGTCTAGTCTGTGGCAACATAAAACTCTAAGGTTTTTGTGTCCTTATCACAAGTGTTTCTGAATTCATTTGTCATTTTTTCTGTTGTTCACAGTCAAGAAAAGACTTCTGTCTGCATTGACTACATCTTACACATACTAGCAAAAAAGAATACACATCTTTGTTTTTAAGATTTCAAAAAAAATTCACAGTCACGCTGGCTGAAAAAAAGAGAAATGTTTGCCTCCAGCTGTAATCATTTCAGTCCGTACCAAATTACAATGCTTTGATTGAAAAGTCCGGCTTGCTCTGTCCCTTTTTTGTCTCTATCTGCAGCACTAAAACAATGGCACCACATCTTTCCAAATCAGATAAACGAAGGAGCCTCTGAATAAACATGTGTTTGTATTTTGTGCATGTGTGATGACATGTAAACTTCCTCATTTCAACTCTTCACCTTCCTCTCTCATTGTTTCTATATAATGTAGCTGTAACTGCTGCAACTGGAAGTCGTCCTGTGTTTGCATGCGATGTGCTGTTGTAGGTCATGTTATCTTCCTTGGGGCAGTGGATGGGATGTTGTCAGCAATTAGAATAAGTTACTATAAATAGCAGCAAGGCAGATTTTCCTTGTGGTCTCATGGCTCCGCTGTTCAGGAATGATTTTGTTTTGAGGCTTGGATATAAAAACCAGTGAGACATTTGGACACTTAAGATCCACTGCAGCAAAGTCTGGCTGCACAGTTTGGGGATTGTATTACTTAACTTATAAGATGATGGTGTGATCTTTTATGTCATTGTGGATTTTTGTTTTTTCTCCAGACACTTTCATTATGACTGCTTGTCTTTTATGCCCGTAAATGCCACACAACACACATTTTATTTTTGTTGCATCCTTTTTCACCTCATCTGGGGTCGTTGCCTTCTCCCTTTGGTCTCATATTATGTGATGGCTGGCTGATTTAAGCGATATGGCACTGATAGACGGCTAGCTGAGCTGATTCAGAGGCTCCGGGAAAAGCCAGTCTGCATCGTATCATCACAGCCAAGAGTCCTTAAGAGCCCTCCGACAGAGATCCCTCTCAGCTGTGAAAGTCTGCTCACCGTTTGTGCTTTTCACATGACAAATATTGAAGGTCACTACAGGCCAAAATGACCATGTGCAGTTGGAATCGCGGGTCAGCGGTGTTTCAGCTCCAGGCCCTGGTGGTCACTCCTGTTTTTTTTTTGTGTTCTGTTATTATCCTCTTAGGGTAAATCCTCCTTGTTCAAGCTGGTAGAGCTGCCACTGTCTGCCTGGGTGCCCCCCTTCAACCAGCTTGCTCTTTCTCTCTGTTTCTCTCTATATATACGATATATATATATATATATATATATATTCTTTATGCCCACACAGCCACTAGTGGGAATTTATATGTATTATTCTTTAGCCCTGCAGTTCTCTACTTATAACTTTGGATTTGGCAGGAATCAGGATAGATATTGTGTTTTATGGGTACAAAAAGTAATGATTTGTCATAGGTAATATTAACATTTAATAATATTTCATCAGAAGAATTCATTTCATTTATGCAGTAGAGTGCTTTTTTAGCTCAGTAAAGATGGTGGACCATATATCACATTTCTTTTTACTGTCGGTAGAAATATGACGAGGGAACAAGTGTGTCTGAACACACACACACGCTGCTGACAGATAAGCTATGCACTGCTTTTCTTTCTTTCCTTTGCATTTACTGTGTAACACCTGCTAAAACCTATAATGTTAAAAATGCTATTTTTTTCTTGCTAATGCCACCACCAACCCATAATAAGGTTGCTACTAATTGTAGCTAATTGTCCAATTAACTGAATGTTCGTTTAATCCATACAATGTCTTATAACTGCTTCCTTATGTGGGAAAACAGGCAGCGAATGATCACACTGACGATGCTGACATACTCACACTGACAATGCTAACATACTCACACTGACAATGCTAACATGTGGATGTTTAGCAGGGATAATGTATACCATGTTTACCATCTTGGTTTCACGTGTTAGCATGCTAATGTTTGCGTATTTGCACTTAACACAAACTCCAGCTGACACTGATGAATGCCATTCATTTAGCATGTATTTGGTCATAAAGCAAACTACTGGACAAATTAAAATTGTGACCCAATAATGGTGCTAGATGAAAAGTTAGAGGATCACCAAAGTTAATACGGTTATTCCTCAGGGACCTTGAATATCTGAAGCTTAAAGAATTTCTGGCAATCCCTCCACCGGTTGTTGTGATATTTCAGCCTGGACCAATCATCAGACAGACATTGCCATCCCTAGAGCCACGCCACTAGAGCAGACACATCTTGCCCTTAGTAAAACTTTAACTGGCAAATCTTGTTTTTTTTTACAGAGTAAATGAGTAAAAGTATTGTTTTTCTTTACATGATTATTTTGGGCACATGACACGTGTATTTGTGCATTTGTGATTATTTGGGAAGAGTGATGTCACTTTTATGAAATGCCTGATGTCTCATTTTTGGAAGGGAAAATTGTCTTCAGTTTAAAGTGCAACTATTCCTGGGACACTAGCCAGTGTTTTATAGCGCGGTAAGTTCACTGCTGACCCGACGAGCCCGGCTCTCCTCTGTCTGATGATGAAATACAAGCCCGCCGTCGTCGACCGAGCTACTGAGTAAAGCCCTCCGTTTTCCACGACACCGGTTTTGTCTCAATGTCAAAGGAAAGGTTGGCTAGGAACCTGAGAGGTTTTTTTTTCCGTGCCAACATTCTCAACATATTGGCTCCATATCCAACTTGTGAGATAAGATTTATTGGTGAGTTCCTTTGAAGTGATTTATAAGGAATCTGTTTCATTTTGACACATCTCCAGTGACTGACCGCTCGTGAAATGGTTTTGTAGAATACGACTAGTGCTCAGCACGAGCTGTAACCTGCAATTTAACCGGTTGCACGGTTTTATGTGAGCAAAGTGTTCTAAATCTTTGGAAGGCTTCTGTGGTTTGTCCCCATTTTCTTGATTTCCTTGGCAGTTCAGCTGGAGAACTCGATGAACTCCCGATTACGCCCCTCCCTCTCTGATGAGGAAAAAATCCCTCCCACCTCTCAACATCAAGGCCACTGTTCCAAAATCAGGGAAAGATGTATTACTGCTCCAGCAGATCCTCTTCTCTTTTACTGATGTATGATTGTAACCCTGTAACTCAGTGAGCTGCTTCCCCACTGTGCCACAATGCAGCTGAGTTGCACCAGGTTTTAGTCTGCTTTCATACCCGACATCTCTGCTCTGAATAAAAGCTTCTATTTCACTTCAGTCCTCTATTGTCTTTCTGTATTCGAATGTGTCAGCGCCAATTATCCGAGTCCAACTCCTCAAGTAGCTGCTGTTCTTGACGAATGAAACTGTTTTGATCTCCCCGAGCTCAGACTTCTTTACGAGCGTGTCTGATTGTCTCCACATTTTCTGGGCCTTCACCTCACGGAAGAATGCCCCAGTGACTCCGGCCAAATGATGTTAGAAGAAGGAATGACAATCACGCAGATGGAGACACACCAATGTTTTGGATCTTTTAGCGTGGTCAGGTTGAGACTTGGGTGGATTATGAGACAATGGGCCCCTAGTCACAGACAAGTAAAAGGCCCCTTACCCCTTCTATAGAGGAGTAAGACACCCAAACTACAAAAAAACAACTACAACTAAGGATGAACCAGAACTGTTGGCAGATTCAGAACCACAACATCAGAGGTGTTGTTTGCAGTTGCTTGTGTCTCTTTATAATCATGTTTGTTCTGTTTGTGGTAATTATGAATCCTGTTGTCATTTTGAGTCCCTGTGTACTCATTCTGCATCCCCTTGTGGTTATTTTGTGTCTTTGTAGTTTTGCATCTGTTTGTAATTGTTTTGAAACTCTCTGTAGGTGTTTTTGAGTCTCTTTGTAGTTTTGCATCTGTTTGTGGTTATTTTGAAAAGGTTGTGGCCCAGGGGCCCCCTGACCCCTTACACCACTGGACCTGTGACTGTGAACTCTCTTTATGACGTAATATCACGACAATATAAACTGTTAATCAGCTTTTTATTCCAGTGTTTTGCGCTACATGCACACAGTTGAATCTGCATGGCCACGTTTGACTTGTGAGTGACTCAAAGCGGATTTAGCATTTACCCATATGTCCCAGTTACCACATGGCTTATAGTCTTAACGCCTGCAACAACAACAAAATGATTCACATGGTATCAGGTTATTAAATCTTCATTTCATAACGCATGATTCAGCGCCTACGGGCCTTATGTTGCTGTCTTTAATCCCGTACTTCTCTTGGCCCGTCACTTTATTTTGCGTTATAAAGGCAAAAGATGAGTTGAATACCGTTTTTATATTCTTCAGTCTGCTGGCATTAAAGTGAAGGCTTTGTGTTGTGTTTCCAGGAAGGGCGAGACGATGGGCTGCATTAAGAGCAAAGAGGACAAAGGTCCTGCAATGAAGTATCAGCCAGACAATTCCCTGGTGTCAGACCCCAACACCGCCGCCACCACGCCTCACGTGGGTCACTACGGGCCGGATCCCACCCAGCTACAGCAGAATCAGCCTCCCTCATCCACATCTGCCTCCGGGGCTGCAAATTTTAACCACACCCTCACACCATTTGGTGGCTCCTCGTCTGCCATGACTCCCTTTGGAGGGATGTCGTCCTCCTTCTCCGGTCCTGTGTCCAACTCGTTCTCTGGTGCTGTCTCAAGTGAGTAGTGTCTTATGTTATTGCAACGCTGATATGGAGAGGATTATCCTCTTAATGTCACGGTTAAAGAACATTATCACTGTTTTTGAATGTTTTATCAGATTTTCTTCTCTGATTGCATCTTTTAAACTGTACTATTGGGTTTTAGTTTTTGAATGGGCTTTTCTTATTTTTCAGACAACCACTCGTAATCTTTCTATTCTTCAATCTGCTTTCTGTGATAGTATTTCCATAATACCGTGTGGTATTCAGTCTTTAATACGATATTTTTAATATGGTATTCAAATTAAGTTGTGGAGACTTGACTTGTTGCAGATGGGTTATCCACCATAGACTCATATAGGAGACTCAAAGATGAACTGATTAGATTTTGGTGGTCAAAGGTTAAAGGTCAAGGTCACTGTGACCACACAAAAACACATTTTTGGCCATAATCCAATAATTCATACGCTAATTAACTGCAACTGGACTGGATGGTGGATACACACGACTGCGAGGCGTTAATTCAAGTTTATCCTTGTGGTGAAATGAATGGAAAACAAACGCTATATATGTATGAAATCGCTACAGTATGCTGGGGCAATATTTAACAGTCATTTTAAGTAAAGAGTAAATGTACTTAAACATGCAAACATACTAAACACTGACCTTAGATTGGTCAGTTTGCTAATCTGTCCATGTCACGGCTAATGCCACAGTCATTGTTGTTTTAACCAGCTCTTCCTTGTTAGATCTAACACAGGTCCTGCTATCAACTGTGATCACTATAAACGTTTCTGAGCAGCTTACAGCAATCCGGAGAGCAAAGAGATGAGGTTGAGATTGAACCCTCCTGTTTAGGTGGGATTTAGGTTGTAATCGTCCTCCTATGTTGGATTATCTGCTTTCAGAGGGGGGTGAAGGTGGCATTTGGATGGTATTTTGCTTTCTGCAGGAGATAATGGGATTAGTATTGACAGCATTGTTGTCAGTGGTGGGTATATGAATGTCTTCTGTCAGGGCGTGTGGCCGCGCAGTAGGCAGACTGAAAGATGAGACTTACACTATGATTTACTGAACTATGTATCATAGTGTTTAATTTGAGCTCTTGTGCCAATAATTTACTAAATACTTAAGTGTGACTGATGGGATCGAGATTATGACAGGGAGACAATCTTATCAAAAACTGGTTTGATATACTGTTTATAGCGGCATTGCTTGTCTTCCTGGAGTCTAGTCACAGTCATATTTCCATGCAGGAGAAGTACTCATATTATAAAATTGCAAGCCAAAGAAGATCAATACAGTATGAGCTCTCAGACCCTGGCGAGACAGATTTATCACCTTAAATTGGTCTTTAAACAGTCACTCACAAACAAACCTGCTGCGTCCTGATTTGTTTCCTCTACAGCACCATAATGTCCTGTACTTGCATCATTGTCTGCTATTGTGTGTACAGTTATTCATTAATTTGTGGGTGTGTTCTTGTGTTTTTAGGTGGTGTTACATTCTTTGTGGCCTTGTACGACTATGAAGCCAGAACATCAGATGATCTTACGTTTAAAAAGGGAGATCGCTTCCAGATCATCAACAATACGTGAGAATCTCTCTAGTTTCTCTCTCGGTTTATGGAACATTTATTTGAATATGTTTCCGCACAAGTAGTGCAGTGATTACAAGATGCCTTTCTTTCGAGCAATAATGATCAGCTGCACCTGTTCGGTGTGTATCTGCCTCCATGAATGAGTTAGATTACTACTTGTTTCCTGATGCTGCAAAGCGCTGAGGCAGAGATGTCGCCTTAGGTAATAACGTTATAATGTAAAGTAGATGAAGATAGTATAAAAAACGCATTTTAAAGACTCTCAAAGACTTTTCAAATCAAATCTGGAGATCTTAGCAAAACAAATAAGCTGAGAGGAGAATTTGGGATGAGATTTACAGGTCAAACCTTTTCCATAAGCCACATGTATACTTTTATACAAGGCTGACTTGTAAATTATTAACCCACCATTAACCGATTTTCATCCCCGGTATCAATCGTAGTAGGATATGTAAGTACCGGTCATTGGTCGACTGTTACATGAACAAACCATTCATCTCATCTCTCTTGTGTCATTGTCCTCCAGAGAAGGAGACTGGTGGGAGGCTCGCTCCATCAACACAGGAAAGAAAGGCTACATCCCAAGCAATTATGTGGCCCCTGCTGACTCCATCCAGGCTGAAGAGTAAGGCCTTGTTGCTGCTTTTAACCTCATTACTCCATTTACAGCAACTGAACCAGGAGACTAATGGCACTAGCATGATTTCATCTCACATGGCTTGCATCAAAGCACAGATGTCCAACATAAACAGCCTCACAACCTGAAATAATGTGATTTTGATGTTCTCCGCCAGGACATGTAGTAAATACAGTATGTTACTGATTTTCAATAGTAAGCTTCGCAATCTGCAGCTGCCTTACTTTCATGTGTTTTTCTAGGTGGTATTTTGGTAAAATGGGTCGCAAAGACGCTGAGAGGTTGCTGCTGAATACAGGAAACCATCGAGGAACTTTCTTGGTCCGGGAAAGTGAAACTACTAAAGGTGATACTGACTTCTTTATAAAGATATTTTCTGTCATCCTGAGTCAGTTTCTGGGTGTTAGACTACTAGCAGTGTAAGGCTTTGATGGATACACAGCTTCCTAGATTTAATCATCATTACAGAAGATGAGCAACTGCGACAGAAAATGTCTGGTTCTTTGCTTAAAAAGTCAAAGGTTAAAAGAGTGCACTAAACCTAAAGAAAGAAGCCCACTTCAGCTCCCAATGAGCATGAAGAGAGCTCAAAATTGTGTTGCTAGCAGTGCTATGGCCTCTCCATTGCAATGTCAGCTGAGGATCACGAGGGTCATTGTATTTAGAGTACAAGTCAGACTAGCAAGCAAGCAAACTTTTTTATTTTGCGCTTTTCAAAGCAGAAGTTACAGCGTGCAAAAGTTTAAAGAAGGGGATAACAGAGACAGAGAAGTGTGTGCAGTGTATAACAAGGCTAAGTGCAAACAGCAATGCTAGCTGCTCTGTGAGGCTGTACTCAAGCACAACAGGGCTTTGAGTTAAATGCTAATGTCATCATGCTAACATGCTCACAATGACTTTGCTAACTTGCTGTTAGCAGGTATAACGTTCAGCATGTTCACCATTGTAGTTCAGTGTGTTAGCATGCTAATATTTGCTAATTAGCATTGTACAGCTGAGTTTGAAGGGAATGCCATTTCTTTAAAAAAAGATACAGGACAAATTGGATGAAACACTCTGGTATCACCAATGTTTTTGGTTTGTTTTTGGCTAGCAGAATTAAGTGTACAACAGACAAAGTTAAAGGCATAAAATCAAGAAAAACCAAAAGAAAAACAGGATTTTAAGATACTATTTAGGCAAACAACGTGCTGTCAGCTGCCAGAAAACTTTGCCAATCTAAATTTCTGGTCTTTTTTGACCACACAGTCAAATCATTGACACAGTGTTGAGTTGGATAAAGAACATTTCTCTTTCCTCCTTCAGGTGCTTATTCTCTCTCCATACGAGACTGGGACGAGGCCAAAGGAGACAATGTGAAACACTACAAGATCCGCAAGCTTGACAACGGGGGATACTATATCACTACACGAGCACAGTTTGACACGCTACAGAAGCTTGTCAAACACTATACAGGTATGTGGCGTGCAAAGCTTCCCGCTCAGTCTGTTTTTCTCTCTCCTCTCATTCATTATTCATCACAATCTCTCATCACACCTCCAGGAATTATCCTGAAAATTACTTTGAGTCACACCCGCTGCTCTGTGCCACCATGCAGTTTGCTGTGCTGCCTACAATAGGCCCCAGAGTGTTTCCAAGGGCGATGAATAGCCTTTAATTTTAATAACAATTGATTGTGCATTTATGATTTTGAGCCTCCCACCTTGTCTTCGGCCTGAGGAGGGTTGAGGTTAAATCACTATGAAGCCACTTCATTTCAGAGTGACTCTGGAGAGGGTTTTGGTCTGTTAAAAAGCCACTTAATCTCATTTATGTTTCATCACAGTTAGCATAAGAGCGTCTAAATTCATCAACATCAAATGGAATGAATCGATGCATGAAAAAGACTGGCTTTAAAGCGCTGTTTCGAACTGGTTCAGAGACTCGTGGGTGTGTGTGTGTGTGTGTGTGTGTAATGTAGCGTTTTGATCACTGTGTCTCACTTTTATCACAGAGCATGCTGATGGGCTGTGCCACAGGCTAACCACAGTTTGCCCCACGGTCAAGCCTCAAACCCAGGGGCTCGCTAAAGATGCCTGGGAGATTCCCCGGGAGTCTCTGCGACTGGAGCTCAAACTAGGCCAGGGCTGCTTTGGAGAGGTCTGGATGGGTAAGAGCAAGACAGACAAGACACACAGGAACATGTTGAGAAAATGCTTTCTGGCATCATAGACATGTTTATTATTCACTGGTAATAATCTAGACTGGGAAATACAGAATCAGCCCAGACTTATGTAGGAAATGCAGACACAATGCACATAATGCAAACATACACAAACACTCCGAAGACTATATTTATTGTGTCTATTTTAGTCCAAACTTATCCACTTCCTGCAGTAGCTTCCTCTGTTTGTTGTGTCCTCTTTATCTCCAGAGATCGTCTCAGTCAGGAGGACAGCTCCAGCCAAATTTATTCATTCCTGGTTGAACTCCGAGCTTGTATCTGCTCATCCCAGGGATATTTTTGCGAGCAGTGCACGCATGACAGCACATGTCTGGGCAATTACAAGAGCTAATTAATGATATTGTCTCGCTCCCAACCCATTAAGAACACTGATTACCCCTGTGGCCTCTGGGCTTTTCTCTCCCTGTCTTTGTCTCGGCAGGCACGTGGAATGGCACCACTAAGGTGGCCATAAAGACGCTGAAGCCAGGAACCATGTCGCCAGAGGCTTTCCTCCAAGAGGCTCAGATCATGAAGAAGCTCAGACACGACAAACTGGTGCCTCTCTATGCAGTGGTGTCTGAGGAACCCATCTACATCGTCACAGAATACATGGCCAAAGGTGAACACAGATACCTGAAACATATCCCAAAAACATGTTGAAGAAGGTGCAGACTGGCCTATCTGATCAGCAATTAAAACAGATATTCTATGAACCTTCAGCCCTGGAGAATAACAAAACTCAGCTGTTTCCTGTTACATGACACAGATGAGGTCTATTTTTAAAGAAGAAGCTAAACAACATCAAGCCTGAGCCCGTAGACCTTCCAGGCACAAAACTGATCACGCGGCCTCGGTTTTTCAGGCGCAGCGGTGATGTCAGATATATGCATGCTCATTTCCTTAAAGGAAAAAATGTAAATTTTATGGAGGTTTTAATTAATACGCTGTACAGATTGAAAGTCCTTGAAAGTCCCTTGTGGTTCCTCGGGGTCTGAAACTGGGATGGTTAATTGAAAACTGCAGTAGTTTTGTGGGAGGCTTTCATAGCTTCAGCTGCAATGCACTTTTTTTTTCAGGGTTTTATGAGTAATTAGATTTATGTGTGTAAATGTTAACTCTATGACATATGCCTCCATGTGTGTGTGTGTGTGAGTGTGTGAGTGAATGCGTGTCTAAATGCCTGCAGTTTGTTGATTCAGTGTGTTGTGATCTCATAGAGCAACTGCTTTAGGATTTTCCACAGCTCCGCTACTCGTCATGCAGAAAAAATACTTCCTCTGATAGACACTAAATGAGAAACACTGATTAAATATCACTGTGAATTGCATACCAAATTACAGTCAAGCTTAATGTAATATTCAGTTTAATTGGAGAGATCCAGGGCTTAATTGAAATATTTAACGTTTCGTACAGCGGTATATTGGTATGCAGCTCACTCACAGTCCCATCAGCTGCACCTCCTCATGACCTTTCACTTTTGCTGTTTTTATAGGAAGCTTGCTTGACTTTCTCAAAGAAGGTGATGGAAAATTCTTGAAGCTTGTCTTGCTGGTGGACATGGCTGCAAAGGTGAGACAAAGCACACTTTCTTTTTTCCTTTTTTTTTTTTTCTTGTTTGTTGTTGCACGAATGCAGAATTTGTGTCAGTGAATCACACTGTTAAGTTTAGAGCTCTATTTTAAGCTTCAGATTTTTAAAAAAAGAACCACAGCCTCAGGTAAACATGTCTTCCTCTCCCAGATTTGGTACGCTTTGCTTTTGTTCCTTCACTTTTACTCTTCTTTTAACAGTGTGACGACGGCCTTGACGTTCAGAGTGTAAGCTAAAAATTATTTACTGGTGCGGCAGTCGTGAAGTGCTGTCAAATTGTTTTGTTTTCAGATCGCTGACGGCATGGCTTTCATCGAGAGGATGAACTACATCCACAGGGACCTGCGCGCTGCCAATATCCTCGTGGGCGACAACCTGGCGTGCAAGATCGCCGACTTTGGTCTGGCCAGGTTGATAGAGGACAATGAGTACACAGCCAGACAAGGTCAGTGCATACACACTGTACACAGAAACACACACACAAACACACACACAGACAGTCTGAGTCACAGGTGAATGAGGCGGCAAGGTGGAGATGATAGAGCAGCGACCTCACAGCTAGGACGACTCCCTATTGTCTCCTATCATGGTGTATTAGGCTAATAGTGGAAACCAGATGCTCCTGTTCCCTCTGATTAGTTGTGCTTTTCGCACGCTGGGAGGATTCAGCTCTCTGCTTTGTCTGCTGCTGAAAGCGCTGCTTCACCAAATTGCTTAAAAAATGTATCTAAGCATGCTGATCATTTTAGTTTTTATGTGCCCATGCTTTGAGATTTGTGTCTTTGAAATTGAATCTTCTTTGTCCGATTAACTACAATGGAGGGTTTGTCATGAATGTGAGGCAAACATATTTTCCAATAAAGGTTCAAGACAGCAGTTTGCTTATATGAATTTTTACCAGAAGCAACTGTGAAACTGTATTCAATCATACAAATCAGAAAAATATGAAATACCAAGAGTTAGACCAAAGGTAGGCTATTGTAACAAGATTATAGAGTCTGTGCTAATGGGTCTGCTAAATAGTCACTATGGTGATTAAAATGATTTAAATTCTTTGAGATATTAGGACTTTTCTGTGAAGTGTATTGGCCTGTCTGTACGAACCAGAATGATGGAATCAACAGGGAAAGAAAAACTGGTCTTCATGATGTAATTGTGGGTCATTGTGGTTTCCTGTAAAATTAAGCCAGAAATGAACACGTACGCCCTCTAGTGGGATCATCTGACTCCCCCCCCCCCCTTTTTTCCCTCTCCTCTCCTCCCCTCCCCTCCATCGCCTTCAGGAGCCAAATTTCCTATTAAATGGACGGCCCCGGAGGCTGCACTGTACGGCCGCTTCACCATCAAGTCAGACGTCTGGTCCTTTGGTATCTTACTCACCGAGCTCGTCACCAAAGGCAGGGTGCCCTACCCAGGTAAATGACAATCAAGGCACACATACACGGTGATGCATATGCTTGATGAGGAAGAAGAAAAAAAAAAAACCACACCGTCAGAGAGCGGTGAATCATGGCCGAAGTTATCAGCTTTCAGTCTGTCAGTAGACATCAAGCTGGCGTGTTTGTTAATGTCAGAGGATGAAGTAAAGCTGCCTGTCTGACATTGTCTGTGCTGGTTGTTTATGCCTCTGCAGGGGTAACACTGAGATCTACACACACACACACACTGATACCTTTACACACACACACACACATATTTGGGATTAGATGAGACCATCTGGTGGGGAACGATCAGGAGATTGAACACCACTCTTGTTTATAACCATCTGCCAGACTGGTACTGCCCTGGGGAGCGGTTGCCTGCAGTGTTCTGCACTACTTTCACACTGCCCCGCTTTATATCTGACGTAGTGCTGAGAAGATAATTAGATTAGTCCATTGACAGCAAATAATAAACAACCATTTTGATAGTTGATTAAAGGAATAATAAGGAATAAGCATTAAATTAGCATAAAGACTGATAACAGGGAGAAGCAGCTAGCCCGGCTCCATCCGAGAGTGACTAAATCTACTTTCCAGCACTTCTAAAGCTCAATAATTTGCACATTATATTTAGTTTGATTAATGAGTGTAACATGATACAACATGTTACTTTGCGTTGCCCCACTTGACAGAACCAGGTAAGCTGTTTCCCCCCAGTTTCCAGTCTTTATGCTAAGCTAAGCTAACCATCTTCTGCCTGTAGCTTCATGAGAGTGGTATTATTCTTCTCATGTAATTCTCAGAGGGATGGCACATGAATAATTTATCAAACATTTCCCGGTTTGAGCTTCTCACAAGTGAGAATCTTCCACATTTCTGTGTGTATCAATGAATAATCAATAAAGGAAATCATCATTAATGTCAGCCATTTGCATGAAGGCTCTTTGGTTAATTGTAAACAATATATAGTTAGAAACATGATCCCAGTTTCCTTCTCTCATCACATCATTTCTAGTCTTTTTTGATGAAGTGAAAACACTTAAACGTTCTAACAGCCATCTCCACCCCCCACCCCCACCCCACTCTTCTCAGGCATGGTGAACCGGGAGGTGCTGGAGCAGGTGGAGCGAGGCTACCGCATGCCCTGCCCCCAAGGGTGCCCCGAGTCCCTGCACGAGATGATGAAGCTCTGCTGGAAGAAGGATCCGGACGAGAGGCCCACTTTCGAGTACCTCCAGTCTTTCCTGGAGGACTATTTCACCGCCACAGAGCCACAGTATCAGCCTGGAGAGAACCTATAGCCTGCCCGCACCCTGCGGTCCCACGAGGAGACTTGTCTAAAGACGAGAGAGGGCAGGAGCTGAAACTTCAGACTTCGTAGAGAGTCGACTGGAAAACGGGATGATCAGTCGCGTGAACCACTACTTGCTCCACCCTGTCCTGGTTCTGCGTTCCAGTGTCCGCCAACATTTTGTAGTATTTTCATATTTTTTTTTTTGTCTTCACACATGGTACTACACAAGTCTTAGCTGTGTGAATTCCTGATTTTTTATTTTTTTTTTCATGTGGATTTAATCATCGTGTACAAAATGGCAGACTGTGGAAATGGACACATTGGCATATTCATTTCTAGCATGTTTTACATACACGGCTCGTGAACACAGCACTACGTTGCTGTGAAATAAGCTGTGACAATGCCTCACAAAAGACACAGGTATTATTGTGAGTAGCAGGCCTTTTATGTGTTTTAATGTGGAGAGCTCTCTCTCCATGTTTCTCCAAATTGTAGTCTCTGTGGTAGATTAGTAAATTATGCATCAAAGTGATTAATTATTGACGGAGGTAATATGCTAAACTAATAGGGAGAAGCTCTCAGGGGGTTGATGGTCATTATCACAGTCCATTTGACAGTGATTATTTAAAAGCAAATCCCACACAGTTTATTTACATAATCATCATTTGCAGTGCAATTTTTTATTTGTTACAAATGGGTGACTAGAGGAAGTCTCTGTGTTCCCTGCTTTTTCAATTTTAGTAATGTTATGTTCCTTTTAAGAATTTATTATTGCAAGAATTTATTCATATCATGTGGACATGGTTTTACAGCTTCATTTGAAGTCTTTCCTCACTGTCCATCATCGTCCAGAAATCTCTGATAAGACTTTTATAACAGTTGGTTGTATAATCTCACTGTGATGACTACAGAGAGACATGCTTACATAAAAAAAAAAAAAAAATGTGTGTAGAATGTGTCACTGGGTTTGGTTTTACAGCAAAATAACAGTTAAACAATGATGAAACTCGTAGACGTGTGGCCCCTTGCCAAGCTGGGATGACACTACACATATGAAACTGCTGCCAATCAAGCATGCAGGAGGATTTCACTGGCTGCAGAACTACTTTGTGAAGGCAGAGAGCATGAAAAAAAAAGAGCCTCCTAATAAGCTGGAAACAACCATCTTGTCCTCTGAAATGTGACTGCTGAAGAACTCTCGGACTCTCGTGGTCTTCTCACTTGTACAGCAGTGATGACGCTTTTTTACAGCGAGTTACTCTTTGCATTTTGTTCCTGTATGGACTCATCAGGACAGTATTATAATGGAATAATTGATGACTGGGCTTGTAAAGAAGGGCTTTGTATATTATAAAATCTTCATTTTATATTATTATTAATGAAATGGACAAGATTGCATATTATATTCGGGAGGGAGGGAGTGGGTGGAGGCTCATCCGGGGTAATTTGTACAATAAAAACGTGATTTTACACCTTTTTTTCCCCTCTTCTTCTAAGAAATCAAATGTTTTGATTTGTCCCTTTAAGCGTCTTCCTGTAGGCAATGTTTAAACCAATGACAGAATGAGGTGGGTGGGATCAAGCTTCGCAGGTCACTTGAGAAGGAACCACTGAATCACAAGACAAACTAAACTTCGGTGCCAAAATGTTGCAGAGAGTTATTAGTTTGACAGTCAGGGATGTGAGATTCCAGACGTCTTTGGAGCAGCACGGCTCAGATGCGATGGTGAGAGAGTTTCTGCAGAACCGTCTGCTGTGCACATACACTTTACTGTGCTCACATTTACATTGTGGAGAGAACTGACTATAAGTTTATGCGCTGCAGCACACTGACCCGGATTATTCAGCCGCATATGTGGTTATCGACACGGACTGCGGCCTGAAAGGCTTCGGCCTCACATTTACTTTAGGAAAAGGCACCGAGATTGGTAAGATTCTCTCTCTTTCTCTGTCTCTCTCTCACTCACTCACACACACACACACACACACACACACACACACACACACACACACACACACAGCGTAGCCAAGGCACTTCCGAGTCTTCAAAGTTCACGACACGACCACTGCAACATGTGCTGCTGCGTTCAAGTGCTCCTAATAAGCTCCGAATTTCGAGACCCTGGAGTAAAAATACAACTTTTTGCAAATTCGATTGATTGTAATGCTTAATAATAATGATAATACAGACACTTAAAAAAGCCATAATGCCGAAATGGTACTTAATAATGAAATTTTATACGCACGTATCTGAAATGTTGTCATGTGTGCGACGGTACCTGAAGCTAACACTTCTTTTCTCGCTTGCCAGTGTGCAAAGTTGAGCCGTGCACTGCCATCTTGTGGTCGTGGTCGGTAATGTTCGACTGATCTCTGTCGCCTTGAACTGTGTCACCCCGCAGTGGTGCGTGCTGTGGACGCCCTGGCAGGACTGGTTGTTGGGAAATCCTTGCAGGAGATTGTGAGCGACTTCCGTGGGTTTTACCGCCTCCTGACCAGCGATGGTCAGATGAGATGGGTAAGAGCAGGCACACAAACACTGATAGACATCATCAGATTCCTTTTCTACTACATCAATACTTCTGTTAAGAAGATATCTGGCTTCTGTCTCCTCATCCAGAATAATATTATGCTTATATCCAAAAAATAAGGGTCACATAAATCCTTTTTGGTTACTGATTGCATTGTCTGCCATCATAACTTGCTGCTAGATGTAACAAAAAAATGCTTTGCAAACCGTTTGAAAGGGTTTCCAATCTTGAATCGAGGCTTTTCAAGTAGAGAGTTCTTCATATGCAAGAAAAAGCTATTTATAACGTGCAAAAGATAATAAAATGTGAAAAGGAATAGTTCTTGAAGGTCCTGGAGTCCTTTGACATTTTAAAACCCTGTCTACCTAGCACTCTTAAACACACTTTTAAAAATTGTCCTATTAGTTTTTCACAGAGTCTTTTTTGTGACTCCCATTTTCGATACACGTGTTGTTTGTTTTTTCAGTGCTATTTATGTAATGTTGAATATTTTAAGTGGTTGTCAAAGGTTGGCTTCTTAAATCTTTTGTCTTGTCCGAAACAGTTGGGACCGGAGAAAGGAGTGATCCACCTGGCCACTGCTGCGGTTCTGAATGCAGTGTGGGACCTGTGGGCGAGGGCGGAGGACAAGGTGGGGCCATTAGACGAGCCATTACGAGAAAAAACACTATTTCCTTAACAAGTGTGACACCTCATGACTCACAGCCTGTTGTCATCATTTTTTTTTCCTGCAGCCACTGTGGAAGCTGCTCGTTGACATGGTGAGTCACAGGAAAAAATTAAGATCATTATTGTCCAGGATGTGATCACAAGGGAAATATCATGCTCGTCCGTGTGTCAGTTCAGGATCCCAAGCAGATTGTCTCGTGCATCGACTTCAGATACATCACTGATGCGCTTACGGAGGAGGAGGCTGTAGGTGAGACGGGTTTAAGAAATCTCTGATCCCAGTGGTCAAAGCAACAGACTCTTTGTGCTTTTTTATTTTTATTTTTATTTTTTATTTCAGACATACTTGTGAACGCACAGGAGGGCAAGAAGCGGAGAGGTGAGCAGAAGAGAAAAAGACTCATAAATTACATGGTTGGATGGGATTTTGTGGAACGGAATTGCCTCTTTAGAAACTAACAGCGGTGCTATTAGCCTGTATAATAGGCCCCTACACTCCATGATTGCTCTATTAAAACACACTTCTCAAGTATTTATTACATGTGCCGACTGTTTCTTTCACCTGCCAGAGGATCAGATGCTGAAAGAGGGTTATCCTGCTTACACCACCTCCTGTGCTTGGCTTGGATACCCGGACCAGCAGCTCAAACAGGTTCTATATAAAATGCACGACATATCTGTAGCCGGACAAACGGCTTTTAATGACGAGCTGTGTTTTTCTGCAGCTCTGCACGGACGCACTCGAAGGCGGCTGGACCAAGTTTAAGGTGAAAGTCGGCGCTGATCTAGAGGACGACATTCGCAGGTGTCGACTCATCAGGCAAATGATTGGACCAAATAACACGTTGGTAAATTTGTTTTTGTCGTGGACATTGTCTTTTTTTTTTTTTTTTTTTAGGAAATAACAGCATATCGAAGTGTTTTTTGTTGTATTTTTTTTGTTAGATGATCGATGCCAACCAGAGATGGGACGTAGGCGAGGCCATCAGCTGGGTGTCCCGCCTCTCGGAGTTCAAACCTCTTTGGATCGAGGAGCCAACGTCTCCAGATGACATCCTGGGTCACGCTGCTATCTCCAAGGTGAGAGAGAAGTTAGGTTGCTCGTGTGTTTGAAGACGTGGACAGATTACGAGGTGACGGGGCCCTGGACACAGACATGTGAAAGGCTCTGGCCTTTGCCCTGTAAGTCTAATCAGTAATCCACCCGTGGCTCAAGACTGATACAAGGTGTTTGACTTTGTTGTTGCAGGCTTTGGCTCCACTCGGGATTGGAGTGGCAACAGGAGAGCAGGTCAGAGCCCAAGTTTCTTCTACGCTGCCTACTCTGTCTGCATCTGATGACATGATGTAATGAAATGTCTGGTTGGCTGACTGTTTCCTCTCCAGTGTGCTAACAGGGTGATGTTTAAGCAGTTCCTCCAGGCCTCAGCGCTGCAGTTTGTCCAAATAGACAGCTGTCGGCTGGGCAGCGTCAATGAAAACCTGGCTGTGCTGCTGATGGCCCACAAATTCAACGGTAAGAGTTCAAACAAAAACAAAAAAAAATGACCCATGAAAAGATAAAACGGAAGAGTAAAATATAGTTTTATCAACTACTGCAGGTAAAGAAGTAAAGATTTTCTCTTTGACCAAGTGAAAGATCAAATTTTAAAAGTATAAACTCCCTTTAACTGTATTGCTAACTTGTGTATTCAGTTATATTTTTAACACGTCTGACAACATGGATATTACAATACACATGCTACCATGTCTTTTTCCCCTCAGTGCCAGTTTGTCCTCATGCCGGAGGAGTCGGCCTCTGTGAGCTCGTCCAGCATCTGATTCTGTTCGACTACATCTGTGTGTCTGCAAGTCTCAGCGATCGGTAAGAGCGGGATGTGTTTTGGTCTTTTTTTGTTCCCAGTTTGAGCTGTTGACAGTGTCTGAGTAGCACATTATCATCGGCGTCACAACTTCCTCCCCAGGATGTGTGAATACGTGGACCACCTCCACGAACACTTCGTGAATCCTGTGGTGATTCAGGACGCCCACTACATGCCCCCAAAGGTACGACAGAGTGAAAGTGAACTTGTTCTTGTTACTCATTCACACTTATTGCTCGGGACTGTTTGTTTACACTGCTGTTCTCAGGATCCAGGCTACTCTTGTGAGATGCTGGAGTCATCAGTGCAGAGACACCAGTACCCTGAAGGAGAGGCATGGAAAGCTGCACATGAACAAATGACGAAGGCTTAGTAACTCATCTAAGTTACAGTAACCCAGCTGGAATCTTTTTTAACTGCATAATTTCAATTTTACACTTGCAGCGCACTATTGAACTGCTACTAGTTTCCTGAAGCATGTCAATGAAAAGTATGCACAACAAAAGCATAACAAATGTAACTTTTTATTTATAGAAATAGATCCTTTATTTTAAAATACACCAGATGAAAAACATTTCAGAGGCATCCAGAACACCAGCAGTTCTACTATAGAAAATTGTGGAAAAGTGTAGATTTGTTTTTCACACCAGTAAAAAATTTAAAGGTTTGATGATCTTGGTAATAAAAGAGAAAGTCGAACAGATACTATAAATAAAGAACAATGTGATAAATGAACTTTTCCCTCAAACAACATATACCATATTCATCCCTAATTGCCTTTAGATTGGGGTTGTTACACAGCCATCTGCATCTTGATGGTGGGATGGGGGTTGTAGTCAAAAATCTCAAAGTCTTCTGCACGGAAATCATCGATATGCTCCACCTTTCTCAGGATCTTCAGCTTGGGGAAGGGGCGGATCTCCCTCTGGAGCTGCGGGTTTAGATAGACGAGCTGATGTAAGTTTAAAATCCAGTGGGGAAACAGAGATTAAAAACTATTTTCACTGACCAACCTGCACTTTGAGAGGTTCAATGTGGTTGACGTAGATGTGAGCATCACCCAGGGTGTGAACGAAGTCGCCAGTCTGAAGGGACGGAAAACAAAAACACATGACAGCTGAGGTAACAGGCTACCGCCACAATGAGCTACGAGCTTCGACATGAGGGCACTGCTCTTACCTTGAGTCCTGTGATGTGGGCGATCATGTAGGTAAGAAGTGCGTAGCTGGCGATATTGAAAGGCACTCCCAGACCCATATCACCTGAGCGCTGGTACAGCTGACACGACAGCTCGCCATCACACACGTAGAACTGGCAGAGGGCGTGGCAGGGGGGCAGAGCCATGTGAGGCAGGTCTGAAAAAGCATGTGTAAGGAGAGGTTTATATTTTACTCATCATACGTCAACAACATGAGATTTAAGAGAGTTCTACACCAGTCTGAAATGAAGGTGAATTTTGGTATCTGCCGCACCTTTGACGTTCCAAGCGCACATGATGATGCGCCTGTCCTCTGGATTCTTTTTGATGGTGTCGATGACTTTCTGCAGCTGGTCAACACCTTGTCCTGTGTAATCTGTTGAAGGAAGGAATCAGTGACAAGGATCAGTAAAAGATCTGAAGGCCGGTAATCCGTTAGGCGTGTTTAGCTGCAGCATGCCAAATATGAGCCGTTTAAGGGAATTGTTTAACAAATCGAGATCGATCATCTTTATGCGATTCAGCCCCAGTTACTTTGATGACTGATTAAACTATGCTGGGCGTGGCTTTGACATACTGTACCTGCATGCATGTTTGTGTATTCTGCACCAAAGTGCCTCCACTGGAAACCATACACAGGTCCCAGGTCGCCCTCCTCTCTGTCTGTGAACCCGAGATTGTCCAGGAACTCCCGGGACCCGTTGGCCTCCCAAATCTTCACCCCTTTGTCCGAGAGCTCCTTGGCATTTGTTGATCCCTGTGACAGACATCAAAATAAATATTGGCGCCTAATTCAGCGATTTGACTTGAAGCCGCAAATAGAAATGCTGCATGTGAACTTAAAGGCTCAGTCCACCTAAATTGCAAAAAAAATCAAGTCGTCATTGCTCACCTTAATAAACCACAGCAGCTCTTCAAGGATCCCTTTCCAAAACACCCTCTTGGTTGTTAGCAAAGGAAACTGGTCTACAAAACACACAAAGAACACGAGCAGGTTATTTGACAGTATATATTATAGCCTGATATTTGAGAGGATTTAAAAAGAAGATACATCAACTGATTTTTTTTTTTTTTTTTTACATAAACAAACAATAACATAAATCCCTTAAAAGTGATGATCAAAAATGTGTGACCAAGATATTCACTGGGAATGTTACAGTTGTAAAATAAACTTGTGGGTGCCCTCCGGTGGACTAAATAGATAATGGTGACCGACCACAAACAATTCTTTAGCATTTCTGTACTGCAAGTCTTTGTTGCTATTCAGCAGATTACACCACATTTACTTATCTTTACTACTTACTTTGCAGATTTTAAAAACAAATCATGATCATAAAAATGGTGCATTGTTAACGTAATATAATAATATGGCATTATGAACAATTTACTGTTGGTGTTTTAGGTAGGATTTTGCAGATACTTTAGGGCTTTCCCTTCTTTCTATTCTGAATGCAGACGGAGTATTTTAGGACAGTGTTACCGCCACTTTTACTCCAGCAGCAGCAGCAGCAGCAGCAGCTGCAGTAGTAGTAGGACCTGAATTGAACAAAGACACTTAAACACTTGGAGTCAACAGAGTAAAGTCCAAACTAACTTCTCAGACTGTATCTGGACTGAGCACCGAACACAGAGATGACTCCAGTCCCGGTCCGGTCACCCTTCCGTCGGCCGTGCTGCATGATGTACTCAATCTGGTCCAGATATCCCCGTTCATCGCAGAAAACACCAAAATGTTTCTTCTCTGCAGCCGGACTCACTTCTGTCTTCTTACCGTCGTCCTGCGCGTGCATCTGCCCGGTGTGTATTTCTGAAGTGGCGGGCATTTTGTGGACAGCAACGTTGACAATCGCAGCACAAAACCGGCCACCAAAGAATTTTGCTGTCAACTGTGTGAGAGCAATTTTCCCGGGTATTTTTTTTACTTGGAGATATTTGGAGGGATTTTGAACCAGCTACTTGCGTTGCTTCCTGGCCCGCCCCCCCCCCCCCCCCCTCCCCTCCTCCTCTCGGCGCCTCCCCTTCCTCTCTCTCTACTGTACTATCAAAATAAAGGCATAAAAAGCCCAAAATATACTTTTTTAATATACTTTTTTTTTTTTTTTTTTTTTTTTTAAAATTTCGCCTTTCCGGCCGTTTTTTTTTTTTTTTTTTTAACTTTACACACTTTCTAAAAATAGGCGGCACAAAACAGTTCAGTGGCTTTTTACAATATAACCGAGTAACATCATCAAATAATTTTAATTAGATTATAGTTGCCTAATAAAGAAATAAAATAAACGCAATAAAGTACAAATAAAATAGTGTTTATTATATATATATTTTTCTGCTCTGCTGCAACCCTCATCTGCAAGACCAAGCCTTTTAGTGACTGTTTTAACTAACTGATTTATCTATCCTGTCATGACAGAGCAGACTGGGTTGTGCCTTCAGCTGAATATTTAGTTGTACTTTTTGTCCGGAAACAAATACCATCCAGACTAAAGTTTGTCGGGTCTATATATTTTCCCCGAGAATATTACCGTATTAACATGTCATGATTGTTTTGAACATGTTCCAAAAAAAAGTAAAATTGAAGCTTTGAAAAAAGTGCTCTAATGACAATGTAAGTTTTACAAAAAGTGATTTGGAAAAATTCAGCCTATACATTACATGGATGTGCCCTATTTTCTTAGGATGACTTGTGGGGGGAAATAATAGAAAAAAAGAGTGTATACAGTTTTATTGCAGAAACATTTTAAATCCTAACACATAACTTACATGAATAAAAAGAATATAAGCTGTGCATGTAAAGGTTTAGTGGTCTATAAAGTGCATTTTCAAGTTTTACAAACTCAGCTTCATTTTTCAAGAAAACTGGTGCTGGACTCTCTGGAAGAGAGGAATCACAGTTTTACTCCATCCCTCAGTAGAAAAGAACCATAAAACCATTTTTAAAGAAAAAATATAACCACAATTTAACTGATATAAGTGAACAGAAGGTTGACTAGGTTCACAAGCAAGTCAGTACACGTAAATATTCCCATGGATACAGATGTTACATTGCATACGGATCCATTTCATTTTTTAATACAAAGTCAGTGATGGAAGAAATGTATCATCATCATTCTTACATATAATCTCTTTTGCATTGTTTCTCTTTGAATAAGATTTAATTTGAAGAAATGCACAGGGATTTGTCATGGTGTAAACATGACATTCATTTTGTTCAAATTCAGGTCGGAGCTCTGCCATGTACTAAGCCTCAATACTGCCTGGATCGATACTTCTAATCTCCTGTTTATGTAGCGTCAGAGCCTCCTGAGCTGCATATTGGATGAAGGCAGGGTCATCCGCCTCCAGATCTGCTGGGACCAGTACAGTAAATGGGGCAGAGTCCAGTATGGTTACGACCACACTGCTGTCTGGTTTAGACCTGATATTCTTCATTTGTTCCTGTGGAATAACCTGAAAAGCAAAATTATGTGAAACTGCATGAGCTCGTTGCTGCAACACAGAATAAAGATGTAGATTCTAGTGATGATAATACAAAACTGGGGTTTTCTGAGGTTAAATCACAAAAGATTTTCCTTTTAAAAATCATCTGTTTTAGTATTTTATCAGCCTGATATCAACTCATACATTTTTATGGTATAAAGAGTCAGATAAACATTTAATAAACAAGAAAGGATTTGGGTTTTTATAGTTATTTTTACATCTTGTTTTGTCATTTTAAAGATGAAGTCTGTTATCTATGACAGATTTTAAAAAACAGGATTATTTTGAATGCTGTTTGCCAAAGATCAAAGACTGTATTCTACTAATAAATTCGAATGATACAGGTAGGATCAGCAGTACTCCGAATAATAAGCTTTTTTTCTCTCCAGGGACTTGGCACTTCACAACCCTGATAACAACCTCCAAACGTAAACAGTGAAAGATAAAGTCTGACAAATCCAATACTGCAACAGACATACCGTGATCACACTGAAGATGTCGTGTGGGCCGGCTGTGCTGTTGGACAGCTGGCTGACCCAGCCGTACTTGTCATCCATGCTGCTGAGCCATCTCTGTGTGTCCGCCGTGTGCCTCTGAACCAGCTGCAGCCTGTCGTCGTACTGCTGACGGGAGGCGTTGAGCAGCATGTACATCTCCTCCATCTCGGAGTGCAACTGCTGGACGCTGGGGCACTCTGCAAGTGCACATACAGAGACGGGTGCATGAATCCAGGTGTGTGCGTGTGCGAGCGCATCAGTTAGACCGTCCTTCTCTCAACCACATTTGACACTGGCGTTCACACATTACTGTATCAGCGCGAACTACTCTATACTTAAAATGTCATCAGTTATGTTTGTGACAAAGGAAATTCCAGCAGTTATAATTTAAGAAAAGTGGTGAAATGACAAGTTGATTAAACCATTAATTGATCAATAGAAAATGAATCTACAATTCTCATAATTTTCACATTTTCTTTTATTTTCCTCTTCTTTTCTTCACCTATCTCACTTCCTTTCCTTTCCTCATCACCGATTGGCTCTTGTTTTCTCACTCCACCCCTCACTTACCTGATAGAGTTCACCTGGGCACTGGAGGATTATTTAAGGGCTCCACTCCATTCATTCACTCTTTTTCACCTTCACATTGGGCGGCAGCTTCCGGTAAGAGAAGCATGATACTCTTCAGTTCTTATTATTTGTCCGTCAGTTTCAGAGAACCTTCTTTATCCTTATTTCTTTAAGTTCATAATCAGACTATTTTGATTTGTTGTGTTAAATTGAATCTTTATTCTTTATTGAACTTTCAGAACCCGCAGCCCATGAGTCTTCCTTTTTCATGTTGAAATAATTATCTGAGAATAAAACCTTTTGTTTTGTTGGAAATATGTTTAATTACCTTTTAACAGATAATCCTTGCATGTCTCACACAGGTCTTGGAGCTGCCAGCACTCTGATGCTTGTCTGCGAAGTCGTCTGCACATATATCTGCTTTGAGATTGTCCCAAAATGGTGAGTGATCCTGCATCTGTGGAGATATACATATGAGAGCGGATGTTACAAAGGCTATCGTCATTTAATACATGGGACTGAATGCAGTGTGAATACAAAAAGTGCCACATCAGATACCTCTGCTTGATGGCTGAAAAGACTCCTCGGCTTCGTGTATCTCCTCAAACACATCAGTCACCGTGGAGCTGAATTCTTCCAGCACATTCCTCCCAAAGTCATAAACTGAATCGAGGATGTGATCCAGGCCCGCGGTCGCCAAGAAGCCTGCAGTCGAGTCGTCCTGGACGCCCGACAGCGTGCTGGGTTGGATCTCTGCGGTGAAGGCTGCAAAAAAGGAATGGCCGAACCTCTGCTGCATCTTCTTGACCAGAGTGAGGCTTTGGTTGTACAGGAGGCTGATGTTTGACAACAGCTGGCCGAATGATGCCTCCGCCTGCAGCAGCTCCAGTTCGGCTTTACCCTCTTCAACCCTGTTCTGAGGTGAGCTGGTCCAACCCGCGTTCTCCTCGTTCTGATTGTAAACGCGCTCGGTAGCGTCCAACTGGGCGGCCATTTTCCTGAAAAACTCCTCCACCTGCAGGAGATCGATTTTAAAGGGTTTGGTGACTGTTACAAACCAGTCGTAACTCTTACACTCTTGGACGTGTGACACAGTTATAAATGGAATATGCTGAGATCTAACCTTGAACGAGAAAGACGCGAAGCCACGGCGACACGTGGAGGTATAGAAGGCCTTACAAGTGTCTTCAAGACAAGGTCGACACTCCTCAAAGGACGATTTGGTTAAATCTTGACACTGCTGTTCGGCCTCCTCGAGTTTCTGCTCTGTTTCCCGGGCCAGCTGCATCGCGCCCTGATGGAAACCCAGAGCAGAAAATTCAGTCACAGATACACTGCCTCTTAATAGGCCAGAGTGGATAAGATGTGGTTTTTGGGAGGGAGGGTTATTCTGAAGTTACTCAGAAAACAGATTCATCCACAGACAGTTCATTTATCCTGACTGATGTAAAACTACACCCTCGCCTCCTTGAACCAGCCCAACTCCCTAGTTCATTAGTCACTGTCTGCTTTGAGGTTTCTCCGTGAAGCCTCTGTGTGGCTTTGCCTTTTATGAGGCAGAAAATATGTGGTGGGTTTCAGAACAACTCACAAAGACTGGCATGTTGACTGTTCAACTACAATGGGCATGTTCTGTGGAAAGTTATTGTACTTAAAACACACAATAAGCATCTGCTTTTTGGGCAGATCCTTTGAATGCCAATCACAGAGACACAATGTACCGTCTTCTTGTCGCTGCTGTGTCTCAGGGCATCCATCAGGTGTCGGTGCTTCTCCTCCTTTTTCTCCATCACTTCCTTCACCTGCTTCACCCCGAGTAAAGCCCGTTTGATTTCCTCATCAACATACCGCTCTCCCGCTGCAGACAGCTCTGCACACACCAGTGAAACATGTAGTTAATTTCTGTTGCACTTAATGCTGATAATAGAATAAGCACATCCAGTGAAGGCCTCACTTTGCAGCGCGTCCTCGCTCAGTGGAGAAGGGTCAGCGGCACAGAGCACGACCTCAGAGAGTGCGACGCAGAGAATTTGAACAAGCAGCCCCCTCATCCTGTCTGTGTCAGCTCTGTGGAAAGTACAGAACCTACTCATTATTCTGCTGCGGAGCGTCTTTAAAGTACCAGATCTTAATACAAATGAAAAACATGCTTTCAACTTTTTTAATCATTTTCAATGTGAACGAGAAGGGAAAAAAAAGCTCCTAAACTTTTCACAAGGGGGCGCCATTTCTCAGGCATTTCAAGTTAGATGCCCTATATAAGTGAGTACAATAATTAGGGCAACTAATTATTCCAGTGCACAGAAATATTCATCCATTTGAATGGAATATGACATCAGTGTTGAGCCAAATAAACATGATTTACCACAATCAACTCATTTCTCTGGGGTTGAAGTATCACATTACATAACGAGGATAATGCCTATAATACTGTACAACTGAATTAGTCAAGTTAAAATCACATAAACTCAAATTACTGCTTTAATCTTTCCTTAGTAAATACAGTCAATTGTGGCACTCTAGCTTCTTCACTGAGGACGCCAAGAGCCTGAACATTAAGCAACAGTTTTATTTAGTGTATATCTCACTTGTGTGTGTGTGTGTGTGTGTGTGTGTGTGTGTGTGTGTGTGTGTGCAGGGATATATCAATCAACAACATTAAAAGAAAAAAAGAAAAATTGACTAATTGAAAAAGTTAGCACAATATGCTATTGAATTTACTTTTATTCACTATGTTGCCCATATATATATGTATATATATATATATATATATATAGGTCTTACAGTAACTTTCATTGAAAACACAAGCCATCACTATGTATAGCTAAACAGTGGACTGATCCTACACGCAAAACAGAAAATGATAAAACAGGCATTTACCTTGAGAGCTATGAAACCATCAGCCTTCAGAAAACAAGAGCAGCAGTTGGAGAGAGGGAGAGAGAGAGAGAGAGAGAGCCACGCGCTTCCTCGAAGGATTGTTCTATTTTTATGGATCTACTCAGCAGCACAGATCCTATTAGTGTGTTTGCACTGTTTATTGGTTATTAAGCCATACGCGCACAGCATAGTTACAAATCAGCTTAAGATGGGCTTTAATGCACGGTAAACATAACGTGCTCATTTGTTTGCAGGTCTATCTCTCTCACTGGTCTCCAACATAGTGCAGAGCCCTCCTCAGGTAAAACTTTCTGCTCTAATCTCCATCGGACTGGCAGTAAGCCCGGGCCTCCTGCAGAGACCTCGCACACACTGGCATGGTCTCGGTCATGGGCTAAGCTCTGCATCATAGGCCACAACAGGAGCAAGAGGACTGCAAGCGCATGCTGTGCAAACGCATGCTAACCTTACAGAGGACATCTGTTTGTTTTCCGCTTTATATGTAACTGCAAATCACTTAATCCCTTAATGTAATGTTTGTGTATGTATGTAATTTTTCACACCATTAGTTTCCATTAATTTCTGTATGATATGAATTCTGGAGGTGCATTCAATGACCCTTCCCCATGCACCTTTTTATGGAGAAATCTGCATTTGTTAAGCTTCTAAACTCATTTATTTCAATCATTTAAGTTTTTCCTTTTATTCTATTTAATGTCTCACCTGTCATATATCATATAAATGTTAATCCATGATAGATGCACAGAGGAACAGTTGAAAGTTGATGCATTGATCTCTGACCTTTAAGGTAAATGCTCTGCATCTAAAGCTTGTCTGAAATAAAATTAAAAAAAAAAAACAAGTATGCCTTCAACCTTAAAATGGCTATAATCAATATCTTTATATCAAATAATCACATGACTGCTTGTGTTGTTAAAGGAGTGGCTCGTGCATGAATCCCCTCAGCTCCATGGAGGGTTTTAGTGTCTTTCAGCTCATTGTTTTGTTTTTTTTTTTGGCCCAAAAACGTTTTGTTTTATTCCCACCACTCACTGATAATGCATTTTAGTTTGAGCATTTATGCAGCTGTTTGCTAACAACTCAGGCATATCGGCTTAAAAGGGTAACTTCTTAATGCAGGTTTCAAAGTGCTCCAAATCATATTCATGTATTGTAGTACTATAGGATACGATGGCGTAGCCCACTATCCCCCATAAAAGTTTGATTAAAGGCTGATTTACCAGCAGAGAAACCCCCATTTCAGACTTACCTGCCAGTTTTTAAGCAAACATACTCTAAAAACATCCCTTATAGCTCCTGTATCGGCGTTGTATTAAACAAGTCAGTTTTTGCTTCCTGTCTCTCTGGCCTCTGCCACCAGCGACTCTCTCGTGCTGCATATACGAGGATCTGAGTTGCCGTTGTTCTTATCATGATATCTGAACACGGCAGCAGCGTGGTAAATGTGGAATTCCTGTGTGCTTTCTCAGTCCTCCTGTTAAGCCGAGCCCACTGCTGAAAGCCTTGACCCAGCAAATGAGGTCCCAACCTCTGAATGAGGACCAGCAGGAGCCCGGCTGTAAGATACCTGACCCTCAGCTGCTTTTTATCAGCTCGCCACGATCCCGATCTGAGCCCTAATACCAGCCTGCTGCTCCAATTATAGCAGACAGTAAGATAACAGTTTTGAAGCCTTTAGGAAAACAAGTAATTAGTCACTTTATCATCTCAGGCTGCTCTGGAATCTAATATGTGGTGGACTGGGTCAATCTTGAGCTATTAGCGCAGAGCCTGAGTTTGGAGGCCCTGTTATCCAAAGAAAGAAGAAAAATAGATCCTAGTTTGATGACTGTTTTTCAAAGCTCTGGGGATTTTAGAGAAGAGACAGTTGGTGTTAACTGTATCTTTTCCTGTAAATCAATTGGTCTGAGCTGAGCGTGTGGAAGGAGATTAGCATCAGGGCTGTATCATGTAACCCAGTGACACTAACCTGTACTGTGAAGACATGAAGGTGGGTCTGTCTAATTTCTTTGATGTTCCTCATTAGTGTGGGAGGATGCAGCTGTTTTCCGCCTTTGATCAGTGATCTGTATCTGCAGGCCGGAGAGATTATGGATGCAGGAACTGATGGAATTATCACTGCAGCTGGAGGAGTGAAAGGGAAATGGCTGCTGGTGAACCTTTAAGTCTTATTTTGATAGATTGTGGTCAGTCTTCGCTGCAACGGAAAATCTTGTTAGGGCAACAGATGCATGGAACTCGTTATCATATATCATCTATAGGATGGATGCTTATCACAGCAAACCACCTCATCTTGTTTCCTTTATCAATCCACCTTATCAAGTCATTTTCTTTGTATATAATTGAGTCTTAAAACTTTATTTTCTTACAAACAAAAGAAAATTATGTCATTGATGCAGAATACATTAATTTATCTCCCCATTTTTCTCAATTTCAGTGATTGCAACATGTCTTGTTTCATGATAGAAATAATCATTTTTAGTATTTATTTATTTATTCATTTTTAAAGTTGTCAGTAGGCTGTTAGACACAGTTTAAACTGTCCTGGCAGAATCTTTTATTGTTGTTTTATGGAAACAATAGAAAAGTCCCTTGAAAAGCCAGTTTTGCAATGTATTACAGTAATGTGGGAATTTTGTGTGAAATCAAATGATAAAATGCCCCAAACCACATCATTAACTCATTATTGAGCACCTCAGAGAGGCCAAAGAAAAGATGAACAGCAGAGAAACGTCCCCCTCCCCTCCACCTCCCCAAACCTTTGAAATGATCTTTAATGAGTACCAGGTTTTCACCCGGGGACGCGATTGCCATCAACCCCCTGTAACTTAATCTCATCTCCGGCTGGATTACTGCAGCGCCGCACGACGTCCCGGGCTGTGTGGTGTTGAAAGCAGCCGCACCTCCTCTCTCTCTCCTCAGGGGGAGACGCAGCGGGAGTGTGGACGGGACAGTCGCCGGTATGACTTCACAAAACTTAGTGGGACACTGGTTGCGTGGCTAGAGGAACTGGTGAGCGCATGAAGCGAGCTAGAAAGAACTAGGGAGAAAGCTGAGAGAATACCGGAAATGAAGCTTCTCAGCTGTCAAAATAAAAGTGTTGGGCTTTGTTTTGGGGACGGAGATGACTTCACTGGTGGGGCTGAACAGCAGCAGAGCAGTAATGGTTTTCTGTAATAAACGACAAGGTTAGAAAAGGATCCTATAGCTAAAGTACATGGACTCAAATTAGTCGATTACCAGATATAAAATGATAATTTATTTTGATTATTATTTACGTTGCAAAACATTTCTTGCTTACAGCTTCACAGATGTGAACATTTCCTGCTTTTTAGTTTGATTATTCAAATTATTTTCTTTTCTTTTTTCTTTTTTTTTTGATAACTGAGGTTTGGACTGTTGTTTGGACTAAAGAAGCGTTTTGAAGGTGTCACGTGGCTCTGGGCAACTGATGGCATGTCCCAATATTTTCTTTTTTTTTTTTTTTAACAAACTGAACAAACAGTTCTGCTGGGGAATGCTAAAATTATAAAAACGTCTGATACCACTTTCTAATATAAAGGGTTTATTAGTTGTAACTGCCACCTTTGTTAATGGTTAATAAATCATATATTAATGCTTTATTGGCCAGTTATAATAAGCCATTAGCCTCCCCTGGTGTCAATTCTTTCTATTATATTATCGACATTTAACTAAATTAAATTAGAGATGCTGCTAATCATTAAGAAATGTTTTTTGGTCCAGGTCCAGCCCTTTTTCAGAAGGGAAGTGGTCATGCTGTCCAATTTTTCGAAAGGATTTTGCACAACCTGGCAACCCAAAAGTGAACTGATGTATAGTTTACTAAGTTTTAGTAAATAATTTAATCATTAATAATTACAACCACTTAAACACTTTATGAAGCATGCCATATTAGAAAAGGGCGAGGAACTCATTCAGTTTCGCTCCCAGGAAATTTCCTTTTAATAAGCAGTTTGTGTTTGGAGGCGTAGAGATAACTCCTACTAAACCTATAAATATTTAGGAGCTTCGTCTCCTCTCGGGACACACTGCATATCCTACCTTTTCTACGCAGCAAAAAAAAAAAACGATTTAATTTTGAAAGCGACTCCGGAAGTGTAATCTGTCATTCTGTGTAACTTTAACAGCGGCAGTGACAGACAGCGCTCAGATCAGCTCTCCCTCCTTCGGCGCTGCTGGACAAGGCTCCGGGAACATCACATCACTTTTGTGCACGAACTCCTCAGAGCCGCGGCAGAGCAGAGACCATGGGATTTTAACCTGGACACTCGGCATGAAGACACACCTGTAGATTCTTTTTTTGAGTCAGTGCGTGTGGAACAAGTTTACACCTTTTTTTTTGTACTGGATGCTGAGATGCGCAGAAAGTGACAGGGGTCCTCATCTCTTCTACAGTCCTCAACGAGTTACAAAACGCCATGAAAGGTACGTAGCCTGCGTGTAGCTGACCCTTTAGTGCATGTTTGTTTTATTTAAATTCTCATGATCAATCTTGAATCGGTCTATTTCTTTGTGGTGCGCGAGTCACATCTGGATGATGTTACGATACTGCGGTGCACAAGTTGTGAAATACTTAGTTTTTTTTTTTTTTCTTACCACCACTTAGTTGCATCCCATTGAAATAAATAAAAGCCCAAATCTTGTTTGCACAATTAGGATGCGTATCCTGTAATCTCCCAGTGTAAGAACGAGAAATCCCACATGAAACCGTGTTAATCTGAATCAGAAAAGAGAGGTTAACATGCAGTTTCCAAAAAAAAAAAAAAAAAAGTAATGGAAAAGGTTTTGATGTTGACCACTGAGCACCACCTGTAGTGCATGTGGTTTGCACAGTTTCATGACTAACTGCTGTGTGTAAACAAGTTAAAGCCAGTTAAACAGTATTTGTACAAAACAATATTTAAATCATTTCACCAAGAGAAACTGAAGTGGCAGATCTGATTCACTTGGCATCACTGGCTCTTCATCTAGTCTAACCCACTCCGACTGCCCACCAGCAAACACAAGCTCAGCT